GTCTGAAAATCAAACAAAATGAAGGATTCCTTCCTCCCTGCTGCCTCCCCAGGTACTTATGAGCATGACCAAAATACCTTAACACAAATATTCTTCCTTTTTTCATGGTGGTAGTTATTTATGAAGTCCAGCATGCTCTGTCTGATTGAGGCTGCCCCATGCTGTTCAATGGCATCCTGATGTTTGCTTGCACCTACTTGCTTTATAGATATTCTTATCTTATAGTAGTGCTGCTGCCTGCTATTAAGATGCACAGTGAATGGTGATGCTGCTTTCTACATATCAAACACAATGCATCCTTTTAGATTTTATAGTTCGCTGTGCCCCAGGTGCTGTTGTTATCAATCCTGACATCATTCACTCGGTATGATGGGCCCTGTCTTTCCATTTATCTGTAATGGACAGGTGATTTTGAGTCATTTTATCTTCCAACTACAGCAACAGTTTTTCTTTAAAAAGAGATTTTCTTCTCTGTCTTTCTCTTTTGGTTTCTTGCTTCCTAGTCTAATATCTTTTGCACTGTATTTGTTCCTAAGGCTTTTTACTCTGTATCTTCCCTCTTGTTTTGTTTCTTCCTTTGTAGCTGCATATTTATCTCTTCTCCCATTTTTGCATCTGTGTGGCTCTACTGCAAATAAAATGTTTCCTTGACTGTATCAACCTTGGGTTAGGGCCAGGTAGTGTTTCCCTGTCCATGCATATGGTTCACAGAACTCTGTGCAGATAGAAGCTGAGGGTGCTCGGTAACCTTTTCGGCTAAAATGGAAAAATAGCTCTTTTGTCACTATGGTTGAAACCTTGTGTCAGGGTGTCCTATGTGATGGCAACAATTTGTGATTCTTATGTTTGACCATGGACTTGCTATGCATGCAGCGACAGGAAAACAGGAAATGCTGCCCAAATGCTTCTCAGAGGAAGTAGGGATAAGTAGAGATCTGTATCTCCTAAATCTCTTGAAGTATTATCCTTTTCCTCCCTCAGAATTCAGCTTCCAGCTACCTTTGAATAGCCAGGGGATCTGATTTCTCATGTTGCTGTGGCTGTTGGTGTACATTTGTGTGTGTAGTACCTAGAGTTTGCCTGCTCTCAAAGCCAAGCAAGTTTAATAGTAAGACAATAAAGAAGACATTGTTAGTGAAACTTAAAGTTAAGTTGAAGTACAGGATTAAAAGCAAAATTTTGTGAGTGCAGACAAATTTGAAATCAATTCCAGCTTTTACTACTTGTTCAGTTTTTCTTCAGCTACTTAAACCTCTTTTTCATCAGCCCCTGTGAGGTGTCCCTGCCTTCAGAGCAATGGTCCAGAGCTTCTCTCAAAGCATCTCCAGTACTGAGAAGGGGAATCTCAACCTCCTGTTTTTGTCTGAGGTTTTATCTGCTTCAGAAGCCAGTGATCTGCTTCTCAGAGTAGTTCTGTGTGCAGACCTAGGTGACTGCCTGCACTTGTACATCTTTGGAGCTGGGGCTTTTATTCCAATAGGAATGTACTTAATGGCTTATGATGATGATGTCTGAATCTAGCTGTCATCAATAAATTTACCTAAGAATAAATTTGTTCTGGTCACAACCAGTCATTCAAGGTTTGAGAGTTGCATGTGTTCCATAAGATCTTTTCTCCATTGAGTTTTTGTTCAGGGACTGGATGATGTGGCACTATGGGAGAGCATCTGAAAGACAGCCCAGGTGTTTCTTTTCTTGGGCATTTGCAGCTGCTGAACACCTTGTCACGTATCATTGTGGTTGTATTCCTGGCTGTGTCCTTTTTAGAAAAGCCAAGTTTAGTAAGTACCGAAGGCTCTGCTTGTCTGCCAGCTCCATGAGTCATTCTAGTGGCACTTCCAGTAATAGAACAACTTTATGGTCTGCTGGAGAAGGTGAAAAGCGGGGTTGTTGTGGTTTGCTTTTCTTTCATCTGGTAGGAAAGCCATGTGATATTTGCACAGGCCATTATTAAGCTGGAGAGGTAATCCTTCCTACACGGGCACTAATGGATCATGTCACTGAAGCCTGTGGCTGAGTGTTTAATGGGACCATTTCAATTCTTGCACAGAGCAAAGGGAGAAAGAGGCTCCTTTCCCAGAGCACTGCCCAGTAGCTGTGCGCTGCCCTGGGTGCAGGTAATAATGATCCAAACGGCTGAATCCCATCAAAGATTTTCCTGGTTGTTTGAGATGGAAGAGTCAATGCTATAACAAAAACTTAATCCAAAGCATCAGGCTTGTGAACCAGTGAAATGCAGTTTAATTATGATTTGCATGTGGGTAACACATCTGGGCTGAAGACGTGTACCAAACAGCTGCATTGCAGAGATGCTTTATAGACAGATGTGGGCTTTGCTTATTGGAATCCTTAGGCAACTGTCCTTTGAGCTGCTGCTTGTCCCATCCAGGGTGGCAGGAAGTCTCCCTGGTGTTGCTAAAGTGGAAAGGCACACGAAGCACTTTATCTTGGAAGTGCATCCTAAGAAATGCATTTGATTAGAGCAGTGAATTTCATTAAATCCTGTGAAATGCACAAAGCCAGTCTTTAGCTTTCCAGCCCCTTTATTTGTTATCAGCACTTGCAATCAGCTTAATATTTTACCTTCACCCTTGGCTGCAGAGCATAACGGACTAAACCCATTATCTGTGAATGTCATCGCCCTTAGGAAAGGGAGAGGGTAAGAAAAAAAGGAAAGAATCAGGGGACAGCAGTGACAGGGAGCTGGTGCCTTGAAAGTAAATGGTTTTTAATAGAAAGATGGGAGGGGGAGTGGGATAGGAAGAATCAACATCTAATAAAGTTCTGTATCTCTTTGAGCCGTGGATAAAAGCTGTCAGGCAGAGGGCTAGTACTTAAAGATGATTTAAATGAGCAGGGATGTTAACTGTTGAAGACATAAGACTGAACTTTTTGTCTCACAGCATGTTTTACTAAATGTTCTAAAGGAATATGGATTTGTAAACAGACTTTCTGTCTGATCTGAGAAATATCAAAATAGAAAGTTAGTTGGGTGCTGGTTTGAGGTTTGCCTGCAGATCTGCCTAAGCTTTTGGGGAGCAGTACTTCAGTTGTGCCCCATTTCAACTCCTCTGCAGGCTTGGCTGTGTTTGGACTCTTGTAGCATGTAGTAAGGTGCTTTAGCAGAGGGAGACGTGCAGATGGTTTGGAGAGGTAGCATCTAATGTCACTCCAAACAGGAAAGGAAAATAATATTTTTATTCGTAAGAATGATAATGCTGAAGAGAAAGATTTCTGTGCTTCTGATATAAATTTTAAAAAGTACTGATTGCCTTTAGAAAAGGTGCAACCCAAATGCCTCTTTAGGGTTATGCCTATTAAAGGTATGCAGTTATGTACATACCTATGCACATCAATATTTGGCCTAAATACAACTGCTAATCTCAGTTAAGCAGCTGTTGTCCAGAAGATCAGGAGAGGTGGCTTACAGGTAACTTTACCTGAAAAACCATTAAGAAACATAATGGAAATTACCATGTTTCCTTTAGTGTGTGTGGTGTGTGTGGGTTTTTGTTGTTTTTGTTGTTTTTTTTTTTTTCTCTCTCCCCTCTCTTCCCTCTCTAGCAGAGGGATCACATCAACATTTGCTGACTTCCCATGTCGTAGCTGTTGCTAATGTTTTCCAGTTTGCAGAATGAGTAACATGGGAACTGTGGATTATGAAGGAAGACTGAGGGGATTCAGGTAACGACGATAGTAAAACTGCAGTAAAACTGGAGTGGATCTTGTGATGTTGCTGGAAACCCCAAGATGGCATCAGAGCCTTGTTTTTCTACATTAAAAAAGTAGAAAGAATTCTTAGTGACTTGTTATTTTTATTTCTTCTTATTTCTTTCTTCCATAGATATTCATTGTTTCTACTCCTTTCAAAACATTCCCTTGTAAGGATTATTCTTTCTTCAAAACCATGTATGCAGCACCCTAGTTGCCACACAAGTCTGCCTGTGCAATACCCATCTTCATCCCCAGGTGCACACTTCTAAATAGTTTTTGTTATTTGAAGGCTAGAACTGCAAGGCTGGGTGCAACTTCATAACTAGAAATTCACCCAGTGCTTCGGGTAGGTTTTGTTTTGTGCCAGTGTTGAATGGGATAGAACAGAAATGAGCTTCTGTGTATGGAGATAGACCTGTCAGTCTCAAATATGATGCAGGTTTAATTCTTGAACCTTATTAGCATACCATAACTTGCAACTTGTAAACCAAGCTACAGCAAGTCCTTTGAAGAGTGTGAGGAGGGTTCTGAACTACACAAAACCACTAATGAGGAAGATTAGTCAGAGTTTGCAAAAGTGCAAATGATGTAATCTGTGCAGCCCAATATCTTCCGCTGGTCACCGAGTCAGAAACACTGTGTTCAAGCCAATTACGGAAAAACTTCCCTCATGTGAATCTGGGCTTCTCATTTAGGTTTTTATTCAGCTTTTGTAGTGAAGCTAGACAATTGTTCTACCTAATGATGTGAGATGTGTGGAGGTTTTCCTGATGCATGTCTTGGATCACTCATGAGAAATGCAGCTGAAAAGCTTAATTAAGTTGGATTTCTCATTTAAGTGCATACATATTAAAACTAGACTAAGAAACACATATCTTCAGTTTGAATGAGTATGCATTGGATTTACCAGTTCGGTGTGGAAGTTCTGAGAAGCCTTTGCTTTATATAAGCTGGGTAAATTTCATAATTTTCATAGAACTTAGAACTTTTTAAAAGACATCTTATTTCATCTCACTCACAATTTGTCTGCTTATTTTTTGTACATACCTCTGTATGGAAAAACTGCATCCTTTTTCAGGACTGCATGTGAAACGAATGATAACAATATACCGTAAGCACTTTTAAAACAAACCATGGACTCTTTGTTTATACCAGCTCAATTAAAAGCTTGATACTTATGTACTAGTTGGCATTGCCTGTACCAGTGCCAGGACAGGTCAGAACCAGTAGCTTTCTGGAATGAGCCGTCTTTTGTTAGGTTGTGATATGCTGCTTTGTGATTTCAGCCACCGTTGCTCCTTGAGTGGGGATGACCTGAACAGACAGTGGTTGACCCCCAGTTCTGAGCTCCATCCGACCATTTACCACAGCAAAGGTCTCCTGTACTACCTGCGCAGCGTAGGCCGGGCCCCTCTGGTAAGTCTCTTCCCACATGTTTGTGGTGAGTAACTGTGCATGGACTGCCTAGTGCACTGGTCCAAACAACCTTGTTTTACAGCTAGAAAGCTTTGGAAAGCATCCTGTGTGGTTATGTTTTCATCTTTACAGAGCTGTTTTGAAAGTCTTGCATATTTTATTACTTACTGAATCTTCTAACCAACGTTTCTGAATTTCAAAGTCTTTGCCCACCTAGAATATAAATGAGAAAACTACTTTAAAGCTCTTTAATATCCTCAGAGTACTCCAACTAAGCTAAGTATTATGAACAGGTTATTGCCGTCTTCATGGCAATGACGGGAGAAATTTCAAAAGATTTTTTACCTGAATGGGCTGTGCAAAAAGCCCGTGATGGAACAAGCTGTGCAATGACAATGACGGGGAAACTAGCTTTCCAAAGAGTTAAACTTCCATGCTTCTCTGGTGAGGCAATGAAAATGCCGGTTTCTGTGGCACCACAAATTCATGAGAGATGTTTATAGTCTCAAAGTGGTAGCTGTGGTAGGGCAGGAACTCTTCCTGCCTGCACAGCGGTGCCCATTAGAAAGGGGAAGATGGTTCCAGCACAGGGAGGTTCAAATGTGACTGAAGGGAGGTAGATGCAAACACCGGCAGGCTGAGTGCTGATAGTGACAAAGACAGTCTACAGGCAGGACCTTTGCGAAGATTGGCAGTTCTCTATGATCTTGGTAAGAAAAGGCCCTGTTAAAGTGAAAAAGTCTGAGCTTCTGGAAGTGTTTTTTTCTGGCAATATGGTTTTTGGTCAAGCCCTGTTGTTCAGGTCTGCAGACTGTAGGTTTTGAGGAAGTTGAGTCTCAGCTGGACAAGCAGTTGGGAGCTCTGCAACCTTTACCAGTGGTTTGGAGTCATGCAGGTTCACTCTTGTCTTACCCGATTATTCTTATTTGGCCTTTTCTAATTCAGTTCTCTGCCATATCCAGCATATATCCTGCTGTATCCAGGTGCCTAAAGTTGAAAACACACCCATACAGTGCAAGATTGCATCATTGCTGAGTGAAGGGAGGCTGTTGATCCTACCATCTCTCCTGCTTGCAGGCTGCATGACAGGCTGTTGGTAAACTGCTTTTTCTTTGCCTTTGAAGAGCACATTGATTTTTAGTTTACCCACACTCAGAAATGCCTTTTTCTTGCTCTAGAAGTAAGAAGGATTTCTTCCTCCGCTCTCCTCCCAAGCCCGCTCCTCTACCTCCCTGCAAGATCCCATGGAACCAGGTTCACTAGCAACCAAATGACTTCTAAGTGATTTAGTTTAATTTATCCTGGCAATGAGCAAATGTGGGTTTTTGTTTGTTTTCTTTTTTTTCCAAAGCAAAGATACGCTCCTTCAAGAAGAAAAAGAAAGAACTTTCAAATGCGAAACCAAAGCCATTTTAGTTGTTACCTTCTTCCATAGAAAATTGCCTTCTAAATATGTGATGGGTTTTTTGTTGTTGTTTTGTTTTTTCCAGTTCTCTAATCAGCTTTTGGGAACCCTAGTAAAACAAGGGGCTGGTGGCATTGCAGTTCTCTGCTTTGTAGCATCTGCTTTTGACTGCAAGAGCAAAGCTGCATGTCTCCAGTAGGTCTCCCTGCAAGATGTAGTGATTTAATATTACTTTTTATTTTCCTTTTCTTTTCTTTTTTCCTTATTTAAATGTCTGATAGCCTTTACTCTTAACTTGGGGAGTAGAATTATCAAGGCATGACTACCTCAAAACTGGATGACTTAGCATTGCTGAAAGAGAATTCCAATGAAAAATGAAGAAGGAAAAAAGTCCTGGTTTCCCCCAGAATTGTTTGCTTATCATTTTATATTTTCCTTTTTTGTTGCTTTGAAAGATGGCTGATCCTGTAAGTTAGGAGGAGGATTGTTTTTGAGTTGAAAAGCAGCCTTTACCTTTGCAGTAATCTGTTCTGGCAAATAATTTAAAATAGATTAAAATTTGCATGTTATGCCTAGAGTCATATCCTGGTGACTGCAAGACTTGAAGTTTGGCAGTTTTGTATGTATTAGTGTAACTACTGCATAGAAGGACAGTCTGGGGAAAAAAAAGGACTAGTAAATCTAAGTTTGCTTAGTGTTTTTCTGACAAGTCTCAGGATGTTATTGGGTTCTCAGGCTAAAAAGTATTGTTTAGTTTTGTTTGAATGATAAAACACAAGCTACCCTGAAATGTAAAAATGAGACGAGCATACGAAAAGATACACATTTATAAAGAAGAACTGGTCATAAACCAGTGAGTGACTGCAGTATCCTGCAACTGTGATTAAAACACTGCTCTATGCGATTTGCAAATGAAATGACAATTATTTTCAGTTGCACTGATTCTTCTGCCTGTGAAAATCAGTAACAACCAGAGAGGGAAGGATCCTATAGCCTGAAACTGCAGCAGCATTTACAGAAGTGAGATTTGATGATAATTCCTTACCAGTACAAAAGTCTATGACTGTGTCATCCAGCAAGGCTCCTTCCAGGCCTGTTATTAAGGACTCATCTGCAGGCTCCTTGAGATGCAGAATTAGAGACCTGCTACTGATCAGGCAGCACAGTTACCTGACGAGCTGATCATCCCAGTGTGGTTCCTAATACATACTGTTTTAGGTGGATAATGTGTGCCTTTTGCAATGTTGGTAATGCTGTAAATTGGCAGGTAATTGATACCCAATTGAGCTGCGAGCTCTTCCTTGAAATAGGACTGAAACTATAAAATCCTTTATGATATTCACAAGAATAAATTCCATGGGGTACCTGTGGTTAGTCTAAACTATGGCTATGTATCACTGATAGCTTAAATGAAACACTAGCTGGAGAAATGTCTGTGTCATTACAAGAACCATTAAATGCAGCTGTTTGCAAGGAGCCCTTACAGAGAAGCTCTCAAACTGGCCTTATTTGTCTGCTGTTTTTCTTCATTATCAGATGATAAGGGTCTAAGTAATGCAGGAATGTTGCTGCTAGGTAGCTTGCTGTTTCCCTGCTTGGGTGTGGAACATGCCCTGATGCGGGGAGAGGACTAAGCAACCCTTAAGCCCTGCAAATAGCTGGAGCTGAGTGATTGTGCAGGATGAAGGATTAAAATTTGGAAAGCAAAAGGAGCAGAGTATAAACAAACAGGCCATCCATGTGAGGTCTGTCTGTGTTGAGGCACATGCGAGTGTCATCTAATTAAACAGTGAGATGGTTCCTTATGCGTGTGTGTTGTAGCCTCTCCTCTGTGTCAAGCTGGAGTTTGTCAAAGGTAATGAAAGAATATAAATGCTCCATTCCTAGACAAATAAATCCCTGACTGTCTGCAGATAAACCTAGTTGTTATATGATCAGCAAATGAATTTAGTGGGGTATATCTTGCCCTACCAATTGATGGGGAAAAAAACCTACTCTTTCGCCTCCCCTGTACCTGTACTTATGTAAGAATGTGTGTTGATTTCCTATATAGATGTGTGTCTACATATTGATCCAAAATTTTTCCTTACCTTTTTACACCTGTCCCTTTATTCGTCTCTGACATATACCCTAGAAAATGGTTTCAGTGAGATCTTTGAAGCTCCTTTCTGATCATTGGTGAACATTGGTTTTAAATGAACCAATCCCTTCTCATCAGAAATTCCTGTCTTTTTATTGACAGATTTTAGAATATTGCTGATAAAGACATGGAGAATATATGTAACAGCAGTGTGTATATTGACTTTATATCTCAGAAGGCACTGGTATTGATTATTCTCTAAGACTTGGGTCAATATTTACCTCTTGGACCATTAAATCATAATTTTCATTTCTATAAGAGTTGATATCTCCTATGAAAGCAATCAGTTTCCACTATAACTGGGAATGCTTTTTTTTACCTTGTCTGTGTGACAGCTGACACAAGAAAGACGGATTAGACAGATAAATGGGTTAGGTTGTATGATATGAGGTTATTTGCCATGGAGATAAGTCATGTTCAGTGCTTGGCTTTAAAGGGATTCATACAAAGATATGACAGCATACATTTTACACAATTGCATGATTATAATTTCTGGAAAATTATATAGCACAGATCTCGAATTTAAGGAAGTTCAAGTGATGATTAATTGTTTGGGAAGGTGAAGTTCCCAAATCTCATGAGCTGAAGTTTGAGAAGCCTGACAAATTGTGCTGTTATATTAGAAGTTACCATGAACTCGCAGGTTCCTGAGTTACCGTGGATTCTTGCATAGGTGCCATGTTTATTTCTGCTCAAACAGAGCTACATAAATCTTGACTCTGGATCCTCTGAGATCATGTCAGATGGAATAGATAAAACAAGATACATCCAACTAACAAGATTTGACACTAATTATAGATGTGACCCAGGGTCTGAACTCCTCTGAGGAGACCTGAAAAAAGTAATGCCCACTCTAATCTTACAGTGCCTATTTTAAAGAATTTTTTTTTCTCCCTCTAAGAAAATTTTACCTTCTTCCCCAGGTATTCTGTGACTACCATGGCCATTCCCAGAAAAAGAATGTGTTTCTGTATGGCTGTAGCATCAAGGAGACCTTGTGGCAGGCAGGCTGTGTGGTTGACACATCAGTTATCACAGAAGATGTTGGCTACAGGGTAGGTCCACTTTCTTCCTCTCTGCAAATGCTGTGTTGACATTTATGTGTGCCAGTTTGTTCAAGATGAGCCTGATCCATGAAGTTGGGAGATGAGTGCAAGCTCTCCTTGCTCCAAAGGAGTGGCATTCCACAAGGTTTTAAATCTGTTTTCATATCTTGATACAACCAAGTACTAGTAAGAATATGATTAGTAGATGGAGCCCTATTCATCAAACGGGATTCATGTGTTCTACTTTTTTGATTACGAACTGACAGAACAGCCATTTTTTTGTAAGCTTCAGACATACTTCCCTCCATAATGCAATATATAAAATTGCATAGTTATTCCTATGAAATAAGTAGCAATTAAGAAAATGCTGATGTGCTATTGTCCTACTCAGTTGAATTGCTTCATAACAAAAAGTTATACTCTTACAGAAAGCAGAAATTTTTTGTAAGCTTCAGACATACTTCCCTCCATAATGCAATATATAAAATTGCATAGTTATTCCTATGAAATAAGTAGCAATTAAGAAAATGCTGATGTGCTATTGTCCTACTCAGTTGCATTGCTTCATAACAAAAAGTTATACTCTTACAGAAAGCAGAAGAATTGTTTTGACATGGCATAAAAAAAAATGTAATGTCCTGGAGCTGACTGCCTAGTAGGAGCTTGGTGGGACTGCTGAAGAAATTTGAGGGAATTAAGACGTGCATTTTTTTTTTCCCTTGTAATTTTTGTCAGTCTCTAGTTTTTTGGATGATATTTTCATCCAAAATGACAAACTTCCATGCACAAGCTTTAGTTCTGACAAAAGAGCATTTTTGCAAACATGAGTTTTAAATTAAAAAAAAAAATAAAACCTTTAATTATAGTCCTAAAGGTTGATTTTTGCAGAACTGTGATAGTGGCCTTAAACTGGTAGCAGAGCTTAGCCATCTGCAACCTGAAGGAAGTTGAAAAGTTTTTTCACTTTGTAACTCCGTGTGATTTTTCACTTCTCCAGAACAAATGGACTGAGTCCTGTGTGAGGGGATCAGCTTCCCTGGCTCTTGTACAGGCTAAATCCCTCTGTGCTTCAGAGGGAGAACTGTCGTATTTCTGCATTATCATAAAAGGATCTTTTAAGTGGGTGTGTTTTCCCTTTCAAAATACACAATTGAAAGATAATTAATGAGAAAAATAAGTAGGGAAGAAAGAACCATTAGTGTGAAATCCAGTGAACACTGGTAAAATGAAAAGAATATTAAATTCAGATTTGCTAATGCTCCCAAATGAGTCTTGCATATGGAGACATTACTGTTACCTGCCAGCATTTTTATTTAACTAAATGCATGAGATTGATTATGCATATAATTTCAATTGTTTTAAAAGGCTAAATTGGATTAGGGACCTGATTATTGTTCTTTATACTACGTATTTACAAAAATCTGTGTTGACTCAGATAAGGACAGAATGAAAACTATCTAAATCTTCATACATGATTGTAACTGGGTCTCGTGGTTGAGCTGAAGATTATAAATGTTTGAGTAATATAGCTCTGTTTTTTGTTTGTTAATTCCTATTCTACCCAAATCCTGAAAAGCCTAGAAGTGCTGCATGAAATCGCAGTATGTTTGTGATTTCCATGTAGAAAATAGCACTCTGAAAGCAATTCTGAAAGGCTGGCTGCTAAGCTTGAGGGAGCAGTCAATCTTGGATGTTCTCTTTGCTATGCCTGCAGGAAGGGAACTGCTGTAGCTCTTAGCAGCACATTTGGGATCTAGACTTATGAATTAGGCTCTTGGTGGTCTCCCAGGTTTAAAATGGAATCTATTACTTTGCTTTAGTTTTCTCTGCCTCAGTTTCTCTGTCTGAAAATGACTCTGGTCTGAAATGAATCTGTCTGAAAATGAATCTATTTGATGGCAGAGGCGATTGACTACTTCAGCCAAGATATACTGAGAAATGTCACTTATATTTTGATACAGATGTGTGTGTGTGCTTAAGTTGATTGAAGTAGGTATTGCAAAATAATTTAGGCCAAAGATTTATTATTCATGTCAAACATGTTTTAGGAAAAAAGGCTGCTATTAAACACTTTTCTTTCAATTTTTGATGAAACCAACTATTTCTGTAAAGTATTATGAAGTAAAGATCAACAGATTGGAACTGCAATTGCTGAGACTCAGTCAATGAAACTGATTGGTATTGGAAAGTGAAATTACTGGTTGGGTTTCACTGCCCAAACTGAATGGAATTTCAGGGTAAATGTCATTAGCGATGAGCAGGAACGCCTTCTATGTAATTTCATTCAGTTGAAAAGTCTAAGGAAGCTGTTGTCAAAGAAATAATGAATGTCTTCATTTTGCTTGCTCTTCTGTAGATGAACCAGATGGTCTTTTGGCATATGTTGTGGATAGTTATATCAGAACTGAACTGTATGCACATGTGCACACATGTGTATATAAAGATTCAATTACTACCCAGAGCATACCTAGTGCCAAGTACCTAGTATATGTTCTTATAAAATGTAAAAGTAACACATCTACACTGTGTAATAAATAGTAACTGCATTTACAGAAATGTTTGATATTTTGGCATACTATATTTGTGTGCAGCTTTTTGTTGTTGCAAAAGATTTCTCAAATAACGAAGTGAAGGGTTAATAAGTAATTTTTGTAATCTTTCTGATTATTTTTGATTGTGTTTCTCTAAATGAATCTTATAATTATATATCATTTGGACCCTCAAAAAACTGAGAATTTTTTGACTGCTGTGCAATGCCAGTTAATCAACACAAATGTATTAACATTATATGAAAATGAAGTTTAATCATGTCTGATCTTCTGTGAGATGACACATCCCCTTTTTCTCCTTTATAGTAGCCTCAGTTTAGGGAAAATATCTCCTATAGTTGAATCCTGATACTGGATGAGGGATGCAGCATAGCTGGAGAGAGGAGAATGGGATTAGCAGGTATTTAGCTATGGCCCCAGTGCTCTGGGCAGCACATCAGGAAAGTGTCAGTTAATGCTGAAGCAGCTTGAAAACAAAGCTCATAAAGTGACTTCAGTAACCCAAGACTATTGGATGTGAAAATGTTTCCTTTGAATGAAATCCACCAGGCACGATGGACACTTTTGCAACTAGTCTTTGACTAGGTTAAAATAAAGGGTAAAAAGTGAGGATTTTGTGTGCGATGGACATAGCTCCAACCAGTGCCAAACTCAGTTATCTCACTAATAGTGACAACAGATAGATTTGATATATACATCTAAAAAAAAATCCAAATCTTTCTGTAGATGCATGTATGACTTAACACATGCACATCTGTTCAACTCATTTTCTCGTTCATTGCTGATATTTTCTCATAGACCCTTCCTAAAATCCTGGATAAAGTGGCCCCAGCATTTGTCATGAATAGCTGCAGCTTCCTGGTGGAGAAGTCCCGGGAGTCGACGGCTCGGGTGGTGGCGTGGCAGGAAATGGGTGTTCTGAGGAGCTACACCATGGAGAGCACCTACTGCGGCTGCAGCCACGGGCTCTACAAAGTGAGTACAGCTCTTACCCCGTATCAAGCTCTTTCTAACATAGGTCTTTCTAACATGAGTTTAGAGAGGTGAGGACATGATGGCTGCTGTCCCACTACTTAGTTTCATCTGCTTTCTCTAGATCCTCTCCAGCATGTGGGTAACACTGCTGCTTAGTTTTTCCTCCATTAAGTCTGCACATGACTCCTACTCTTTGGCCTTCAGTACCAGGGCAGTAGGGTCCTTTCTCTGAGGACTCGTTCCAAAGTGAAAGAAACTCTCCTGGATAATGTGGTAAGGGATGTCATAATGACAGTGAAGCTACTGAGCTGTAACATTGCAAAGAGCAAATTAAAATAAATATCACTTTTTTTGCATAAGGAAGAGTTTCCTTGAAATTAATCTGAGTCAAATATTTGTTCTTTTTTACTGTGTTAAGATAAGGAAATATTCTAAGTAGCCTCACATCATTTGTTCTACTTAAAGCGTTGGGGTCTAGCACTGTATATATGTGTTCTAACATTGTTATAACAGATTTATAGCTACAGATCCTTGGGATTACCATGATGCGGCTTCATTCATTTGGTGTTACATATTGTAATGTTACTACTGACAAGGCATTTGCATTAAACCAGTGGGAAATAAAGTCATCATGTAAGTCGTAGACTACGTCGCTAATAACAGCGGCAGCTACAGCACATGTTCCTCTGCTTGCTTAGTGTTTACCCTGCAAGGAGGTGTAAATAAGAGGCTCTGTGACACTGGGTCACATAAAACACTATTAAGGGATGATGATAGCATTATTGTTTTAGTGAACTCTGAGGCTTCATGGCCCTGGAAACAAGGATGCTCTTCTTCCCCTTTCCCTCATATGTTCTGTATGCACTCTCATTAAACTCCCTGAAATAACTGTTCAAAAGAATGTGTCAGATCTTTCAGTTTGTTCATAGACTTCAAACAACAGCATCCACCATCAAATAACTTTAAGATGAAAGAGCATTCTAGGTAAAGTTATGGAGATGAATCCTGTCCTTATGTTTTTCCTTGCACAAAATCAGTTAGTTGGGTGAGGGTGTGTTTTTAAGGAGTAGACTCAAGCTAGCAGGCAGCCCTGGCAATGCCTCATTGTGCCACAGGAGAGAGATTGGTGTTCTTGAGTGATTCAAACTGCTTTTTGCTGATTCCAGATAGATCTGGTAACTCCAGTTGGGAGCCTGAATGATTGAGCTAAAGAAAGTAAGGCTTTTGAGATAATTCGGGCGCTTGCCCTTCTGAGGGCATTCACAGTCTAATAAAAATGTCCCTGCATGTGATACAGGCATCTCTGAGTTTATTTTAAGGTAATCAACATGAATGCTAGTGGTAGGACTCTTCTTGGTACAGGCTACGTACTTGAGTGTGCACCTTGCTATATTTAAGAGTCTACCTTTAAGACTCTTTCTTTTGAAAGAATTAAGTTAGCCTGTTAATGAAAGCTAGCTAATAAAAGTTAGTTTTGATGGCTCTCCATGAGCTCAAGGTATACCCTGAACAGCCCCAATCACCTTCTAGACTCTGTGGGAAGGGCTGTGCTGTGGGTGAACACTTTAGAGACATCTTTTTGAGATCTCCTAGCCCTTTTAAGTACGGAGGTTGAACTTTAGTAAATGTATTTAGCTGATTGTAGTTTTCCCTTCTCTACCAAATAGTGAATTTTCTCTGTTCCTTTCCCAAGCCCGTTGCTTCTGCTGAATGGCTTCCACGTTCCACCTCCTTCCTTCCACCAAAGCAATTATGGATCCTAAAAGACTGAGCCATTATGATAAATAATAATTAATCAATAGATATTCAAATGATTCTTTTTGCACGCTCTATAGTAATCCTTTTACTTCTCCATGTAGTGTAGTCAAGAAGTACTCAGCTTCTGTTTTAACTATCTTTTGCAATACATGCATCAATTCCAAGGCAGGAAAGAGAAGGAAAAACACAGAGTTTGAAGAAGGAAAATGTAATTGCCCAGAGCAGTAGGTCTAACGCTCTCTGCTCCTCTGTGTGCTAATGGGTTTATAATAAGCACCACAGGTCAAGACAGCTGTTTTAATCTTCTTTAGAAGACAGTAGGGGAAAATCTTGCCTTGACTGAAATCAGTGGCAAAGCTTCTAGTGTTCTTAGGAGAAAGGTTTCGTTTAGTTCCCAGGATGACCACAATAAGGCCTAAGAGCAGTAACCCATCAGACAGTATCAATATCTAATGATTTTCCTTTTTCTTCTTTTACCATCTGTGAGGTTTTCAACAAAAATTGGCTTAGTTTGTGACATCAGATGCTTAAATAGACATCAAGTACCACACTCAGATGCTGGTTTTAAACATTTGTCCATCCATTGCCTTATTACATGGTGAGGTGCTAAAAAGCTGAAGGACCTAATGTAGCAGGGCCTGGATATATATTTCTTCAAGAAATCTTTGCAATGTTTTAAGAGATTCTTCTATCCTTGTTGTCTTTGTCACTAAAAATATGAACAGGGCAACATCCAGCCATTGAGGGTATGAATGTCTTGATGTACGGTGTGGAAAGGGGACTCTCTCATTGGTGACACGATGAATCCAGCCCTCCTGTGGTCCGTGAGGAAGTTTGAGCTCTGAAGCAGTTCTGAAATGTCTGTTGAAAATGATTTCTGTTTGATGAAAAGCTGAAACCTGCTCGGATCTTGAGGTGGTTATTCTGAGGCAGTATTTTTAATTTGTTGTTTACCAGTATTAATCTTAAAGATTGAGGACTCTTCGTGTACAGCCATGAGGGATCATCTCCTTCACTCACTGTAAGGAAGTAAAGGCCTTTTGCAATTTCTCTGGTTCAGACAGCTTTAAAGTATTTTCAGTTGTTTTCCCAAGTGTACTAAGTATCTGATTAGCGTTGAAATGAAATATCATTTCTCACACTGACATCTCTTTGGAGCTGCATAACAATGCACAAGCTGAGTTCCAAATAATTGATACTATTTAGGGTATTTCCTCTTTCTTTTGGCACTTTTGAGATTTGTTTCTTGACGATTCTTTCAGGTGATTAGGGTATGGTCTTGACAGGCTGACCTAAAGATTTGGTCACATAATTGCAATTAAAACTCAAGTTCCACCTACCGAACCAAAACTACTGTAAATTGAAAATAAATCACACAAGCAATCATGGTGTCATGGTGGTGTGTGTGGTTGTTTTTTTTTTTTTCTATCCAGACTTCAATGTGTATACTTCTGTCTTGGACCCAGAAGTTATCTCTGAAAAGAGTTGAGAGTAATACCTAGGCAGTCCATGTCAGTATCCTGGGCTTGGATCTCTCTGTATACTTGTATTAGTAGGTTTGCATTTGTATTTAGCTATGGATAAAACCACCTTCTGAGTTAGATGAAACTGTTCTCCCTCTAGGTGTATATCCTGGATCTTTTCTGGACAAGCACACACAAATATTTTTAATGCTTTTATACACTGAAGGACAGTGCCAGCAGTAGATAGGATTTAAAATCTCAAATTTTATACAGTAGAGGCTCACAACTCCAGCACTGTTCAGTAAATCAATGGTCAAACTTCTAATAGCATTGCACAACCATCCCTGATTCGAGTCCTTAGCTTCCTTCCTAGTTGCAAATGTTGAAACTAATCCATTCAAGTAGCTGTTTTGCTGACTGCAAGCACTGACGTGATGCTTACACTTGCACATCTGCTAGGGAGCTAGCAAAGACTTCAGTAGGGCAAGAGAGCCTTGCAGAGGCTGCAGTGAAGATAAACCATGCAGTGCACAAGGCTGGTGATCTACCCGCTCTTGCCGAAGAGCCAGGGCCAAGGAAGGGCTGAGATAAAGTAGAACCTAATGCTTTCCTGGACTCACCGCCAGAAATCTTTGCCAAATATCTTCCAGGGAATGTAACCTGTGTTAGACTGACATTTAAAGACTTGTGTTGCATTTTTAAAACAGTTCAATGAGTGAAAAATGATACAGGAATTTTGCTAGTGATATGTAAATGGGAAACAAGGGTGACCCCGGCCTCATTTAAAAGTCATTTGATTTTAAATGGGAGAGGGAGAGGGGAAAAAATAGCTTATCTCTGTCAAATCTCCCTGTCTGTGTGATCAATGGAAATGCAATAAACCAGCTGCCCTTAAGGAAGAGAAACATAAAACTAAAGAAACTATTGATCTTATCTGAGGTTTTATTCAACCTAAGGAAGAAGAGAGCAGGAGGGAAATATCCAAACTCTTTCATTTTTTTCTAGATTGCCCAGTTGAGTCTTACAGGAGCAGTGTCTCCATTTTGAAAGGTTTGAAAGTTGCTAAAAACAAAGCAGTGAGTTTCCGCAGGGAATGCTTCCTCCTTCCCCAGCCACTTTACAGCTCCTATGGTCAAAACAGAAAACGATCAGAAAAAGCAGCTGTTCATCATTTCTTTGCCAGTGTGAAGGATGTTTGTCTTTCCCCCCCATGGAACAGTTTGCCATGTGGCTTTTATTGCAGCCTCTCGTCTGGGGGCTGTTGAGGCTCTTTCTCATCTGTGTTCTGTAGGAGTCTGTAAGGCGGTACTGTAGGAAGCTCCATTCTGTTTGAGAGGGTATAATCCCAGCCCCGAAAGAATCATGTCTGCAGTGACGCATTTTGATACGTTTTTGAGTTTGTCTTTCATTTTTATATTTTATATTTGCATATATAATCATTGTTATATTTGTAGATGAGTATCTGTGCTGTTACTGCACAGTACTATAGCATGTGGTGACGGTTAGGCTGTTATCCCATTCTGGATTCCTTGATATATAGCCTATTAATTAAAAACTTTGTGTAGAGTGTTAGACTGAGCTGTTCTGTTCAGTAGCTGCATCTATCATCCTGCAAGTTCCTATCTTTTGAATCATGATACACAGTTGAGTTCCAAACCTATATATCTTGGTACGGCAGCGCCTAAAATAGGGCTTTGCGCTGCGTGATTACATGCTGTGTTGGGAAAGTATTTTACGTGGCATGTTTGCCTGGTGGAGGGGATGTAGCACTAATGGAAA